CCTCATGCCTGCGCTGTAGGCTCTGGCTACATGGCCCTGCTGGTAGCTTCCTGGACATCTGGCAGGCAGGGCATCCCCATTCCAGGCAAGTCCTCTGCCTCCTTTCCTCTCCTACAGGATCACAAGTACATTTCCACCTTCACACCCGCCGCACCTACCGTGGAGCGAGGCTGCGTGGAGCTGAACTGTGCCACCTGTGATTGTCCTATCCCATGCCCACTGACTTACATAAGCACTCAGTCTAGAGTCAGGCCCGGGCCTATTTCACACCAAAATAAATTTGTACTTCAATTTAGTTTTTCCATGAAGATTTTGAAGTCACTTCATATTTTCTACGGTTCAGTTTTCTCTATTGGGGACACTCAACATCATTCTACCCCCAGTCCCATCACCTGGCTGGCAATTGCTTTCCTTTCTTAACTGGGATATCACCTCTTCCAGGAAGACTTCATAAACCCCCTGCCCAAGATAGAACTGGCCAGTGAGGGGAGGCAGCCTAGGAGTTGGCAGGTCCGGGAAGGTGGCTCAAGATACCGTGAGACTCCCTAAATACCCCCTATTGTTCTGCCATCCTTGGGCTGGGCCCTGCTTCTAACAGACATCTTGTGTTCTCCTGCCAGCAACGAGTTCAGTAGGCTGGTGGCTGGCGAGTACCTCAGTTTCTTCGACTTCTCGGGCCTGACTCTGGACCGAGCGCTTAGGTAAGTCAGTGGTGCTGGGGTAGGCCAGTGCCCACAGGTGGTACAAGCAGCACACCTGAATTCTTATGCCAGCCCTATCATATTCTTGCTGTGCAACCATGGGCAAGTTCTTTTTTTTCTTTTGGAGAGGTTTTTGCTATAGGACATGTGCGCTTGCCAGACAGACAGAGAGAGACATAGAGACAGAAAGCAAAAAATCACCCCCCAGGGGGGATGGTCACGCCACAATCCCTTCTCCTCCATTTTCCTCTCGGGATCTTGGGCACGCACGCACACGTGCCCGGCATGAGTTTTAAGCCACCGGGTCTGGGACAAGAATTGCGGTTGACTACGTGGGAGTCCAGTGACATAGCCATTACGTTAACTGTTGGTCCCCCATGGGCAAGTTCTTGATCTCTGAAAAAACTTTGGGAAGCAGGAGTGGTCCAGCAACTCAACGAGGGCAGCTCCATGGTAGGTGCTGAGGATGCAAAGGTGGAAATGTACCCATGATCCTTTAGGAGAGGAAAGGAGGCAAAGGACTTGCCTGAATCGAGGACTTCCTGCCTGCCAGATGATGTAGGTCTTTAGAGCTGGCTTGCTTTGGCCTCGTGTCCCAGTAAGGTAGGTGCTACCATAACTATTTTTCCAATGAAGAAACTCTATAGGCTAGAGACCTCCTCACAATCACTGAGGGAGGAGATAGCAAAGTGGGATTTGAATTCAGATCTTACTGGTGTTTGGACCCAGGGTATATAGACCTAGGAGATCCAGGTGCAGGTCCCAGGAGGGGTAGGATGGGTGAAGGCAGCCCAGTGTCTAGTGGGCTCTGATGGTAGGGTCTAGCTGGGGAGACCCCAGGCCAGGCCGTAGGAGGGATGGACAGCAGTCTCAGAGCTAAGGGGTAGGGTTGTCCACGTATGTTAGATCCTTTCATCTGGTTCTACATGCCTCTGATGCTTTCAAATATACAAGGGGTCTTCAAAAAGTTCGTGGAAGGGACCAGCAGTTAGCGTAATGGCTATGTTGCTGGACTCCCGTGTAGTCGGTTGCAGTTTGAGTCCTGGACCCGGTGGCTTAAAACTCACGCCGGGCGCGTGTGCATGCGTGCCCAAGATCCCGAGAGGAGAATTGAGGAGAAGGGATTGTGGCGTGGGGGTGATTTCTCTCTTTCTGTCTCTCTGTCTCTCTGGCGAGTGCACGTACCCTATAGCAAAAACTCTCCCCCCCAAAAAAAAAGTTCATGGAAAATGTGTATTACAGAAAAATTATGCATGGGCTTCAGAATTTGTTTTTTGCACCAAACTAAACTTACATTTCAATAGCACTTTCCATGAATATTTTGAATTCACTTCATATATTTCATTATTTTCATCTGCATTTCAGTTGAGATATTTTACACTGATCTGCCTTTGGTTCATTTACCCTTTTGTTTTTTTCAAATAATTAAAACTATTTTTTTTTTAAGAGAGAGATTTTTGCTATAGGGCATGTGCGCTTGCTGGATAGACAGAGACACAGAGACAGAAAAAAGAAATCATCCCCCAGGGGGATAGCTACCCCACAATTCCATCTCCATTCTCCTTTCGGGGTTTTGGGCACACATGCACACACACCCAGTGTGAGTTTCAAGCTGTCAGTTCCAGGACTCCAACCACGGTTGGTTATGTGGGAATCCAGTGACATAACCATTATGCCATCTGCTGGTCCTAAAAAAAAATTTTAATTTTAATTTTATTTCATTTTAAATGAATTATTTATTAAATTATTTATTATTTATTAAATTATTATTATTTTTTAGGTTTTCTATAGAATAGAGAGAGAGAGAGAGGGAGAGAAAAAGCAAGCTGCCAGGTCTGGGACTTGAACTGCAGTGAGCCATGCGGAACTCCAGTGCCTTAATCACCATGCCACATGCCTGCCCCCACTTTTCTTTTGTCTTTGCCTAATATATCATTAAAACCATTTACTGAATTTTGGGCCAGAAAGTGGTGTGGTAGTTAAGGTGTTGGACTCCCACATGGCCAACCACAATTCTAGTTCCAGACTTGGGAGCTTGAAAATCATGCCAAGCATATGTGCACGCCTGCCCGAAATCCCAGGAGGAAAATGAAGGAGAAGGGATTGTGGTGTGGCCACAAAACCCTAAAATAACAAAATTAAATAAAAAAAGTTTATTGACTTTTTACTTTCTGTTACAGCGTTTTTTAGTTCTAAAATATGCACTTTATTCAAAAGACTTTAAATTCTAAATTTCAAAAATTCTAATCTTCTGGAAGAATTTCCTATATTGTCACCCTCTTTCCTTCTCTTACCTTGAGCAGAGTTTTTTTTTTTTTTTTAAGAAAACAATTATTTATTTAATTCCACTTGGTATTATTTTTGTTGTTATTTTTAATTTGACCAGAGAGACAGAGAGAGAGAGAGAGAAAAGGAAAGTGAGAGAGCAAGCCATCAGGTCCAGGATTTGAACTGCGGTTGGCCATGTGGGAATCCAGCACCCTTAAACACTATGCCACCTACTGAGCCCTTTTCTTGAACATATATTTTTCTTAAGGAATTATTTATTTAATTTAAAAATTGATTCATTAATTTATCTTAACTTGACCAGAGAAAGACAGACACACAGAGAGAAGGAAATTGGGAGAACAAGCCACCAGATCGAGGACTCAAACCATGGCAGACCATGTGGGTCTGTCCAGCGCCTTAAACACCACGCCACCAGCTGGCCCCCTTTTCTTAAACATATTAATCATAGTTATTTGAAAGTATTTGTCTGCTGGGCTGATTCTGTGGCCTAGTAGTTAAGGGGGACAGATCCCACATGATTGACTGCATGGTTCAAATCCTAGCACTGGTGGCTTTTTTTTTTAAAGAGATTTTTGCTATAGGGCATGCTCATTGGAGACAGAGAGAGACAGAAAGCAAGAAATCACCTCCTGGGGGGATGGCCATGCTACAATCCCTTCTCTTCCATTCTCCTCGTGGAATGTTGGGCATGCACACATATACACCCAGTGTGAGTTTCAAGCCACTGGGTCTAGGATTCAAACCACCGGTGACCATATGGGAGTCCAGCGCCTTAACCACTATGTCATCTGTTGGTCCATCAAATCCTAGCCCTGGTGGCTTTAAAAACGTGCTGGTTGTGTATATGTGTTACAAATCCTTACAGAATAGAGAAATGAAGGAGAGGGATTGTGGTGTGACCATGCCCTGTTGGGGGGCACATTCTCCTTCCTCCTCCTCAACCTCTCTTTTTGTCTCTTTCTGGTGAATGTATGTGCCCTCTAGCAAATAAATTTATTTTTATTTATTTATTTATTTTGGGAGTTTTTTTTTTTTTTTTTTGCTATAGGGCGTGTGTGCTCTCCAGAAAACAGAGAGACAGAAAGTAAGAAATCATCCCTCAGGGGGGATGGCCACACCACAATCCTTTCTCCTCCATTCTCCTCTCGGGATCTTGGGCATGCATGCACACGTGCCCGGCGTGAGTTTAAGCTACCAGGTCCAGGACTTGAACCGTGGTTGACTACATGGGAGTCCAGCGACATAGCCATTATGCCAACTGCTGGTCCCTCTAGCAAATAAATTAAAAAAAAAGTCTTTGCTACCAATAGCTGTGTCATCTGCATCATCTACATCTGTTTCTATTGTTTATTTTTCTCTTAGTTTTCTGTTGCATGCTTAGTATTTATTTTTAAAAATTAGGTGCTGTACACTTTGAATAGCATTGCAATGGCTCTAGATTACTACATATTCCTCTAGGGACAGTTTGCCCTATCCTTTGCTAGGCAGTTAGAAGGGGCTGTGGGGTGCACTCCCGTCTGGGCCTCTTCAGAAGCCTGCAGACCTCGGGATCGAAGGCCACAAGCACACTGCTGCCAGTGCTGCTTTACACTCAGCACCTTCTGTGACTCCCCAGGGCCTGTGCACTTAAGTCTCAAGTGCTTTGGAGGGCAGCACCAGGGAAGATACAGCAAACTGCACTGTAGCTGCTTTGGGCCAGAAACCAGATGAACTGTAGCAAAATTAGGAACAAATTATCCCATGAATCCAGGACAGACAGAACCACAGATGGACTCATTCTACAGTTTCTCTTCCCAAGGGAAGGGAAAGGATGTTCCAGGCCTGGGTGAGGAACTGTGACTCCCCCATCTCCCAGCCCCTCTGGTTTTGGGGTCAGTTGCCGGTGGGTACCTTTTTTTTTTAAAAAATAAGAACTTCTATTTTAATGAATATTAATTAATTAATTAAAATTTGGCCAGAGAGGGAAGGAGAGAGAGAGAGAGAGAGTGAGAAAGCAAGCCTCCAAGTCTGGGACTCGAGCTGTAGTCGGCCCCATGGGAGTCCAGTCCTTAGCCACCACACCACCTGCTGGCTCCCAGTGGGTGACTTTTAGTTTGGGCCTGGAGGGGGGTTTAGAGCTGCCTGACAGAGGAAAGAAGGGTGTCCCAGACATTGAGAGTACCTGTGCCTGTCTTGCCCAGGGTGGGAAGATGGTCTGGAGAGGCAGCTGGGGGTGAGGAGTTGGAAGGACAGGAGGGGAGGTGGGGGTTAGCAAGACCACGATGGGAGGAGCTTGGGCATTATTCAGAGGGTTTAAGCAACAGTGAGTTTTGATTGCATGTGCATTTAGAAAACCACCCACTCTTTCTGTAGTCAGAATATACCAGGGGTTGGTGGGGATGGGCCTGCTGGGAGGCTCTTGCAGGGATCCTGGGTATGTAGTGAAGGTGGAGGAGAAAGAGGATTGAGGTTGAGGATGAAGAACAAACCATTAGGACTTGGTGGCAGCTCAGATTTAGGGTTTTGGGGAGAGAGAGGGGAGCCAGGGTTGGGCCTGGGTCTCTGCTAGTGGCTTCACGTGGAGATGTGAGTGAGCAAGAGTGTTCTGAGGGGCAGGTGTGGATGGTCTGGGCCCAGCTGTAGAGAGTGGGGAGGGGGCATCTACTGCGAGAAGAGCAGTTTGGTGCTGGTGCCGAGGTGCTCATCTGTCCTGGTTCTTCACAGTCTGTCCCCGGCCTACTTCCAGAAGAGCCCTGGAAGCCTTGGGGACAGGAAGAGGCCAGCCACCTGTGGCATGCACCTCAGGCCCCAGGGATGAAACTCTAAAACCTGCCAGGACTCCTGGCCCTTGTGCTCCATTGGCCATCTTTGGGGAAAGGGACCTCCCTGGGCCTGGAGAGGGTATCTAGGGCTGGAGCTTTGGCCCCCTGGTGCTGCATGTGGAGGTGTAAGGGGATGGTTCCTACCCTGGGTGAAGACCCAGATTCACTCAGGGGCCCTGGAAGGACCTCAGCAGTCTTGAATTGCCTTTCAGAACCTTCTTGAAGGCCTTCCCGTTGATGGGGGAGACACAAGAGCGTGAGCGAGTCCTTACACACTTCTCTCGCCGATACTGCCAGTGCAACCCTGATGACAGCACCTCAGAAGGTATGGTCCTGGCCCCACCCTGCCCAGCCTTCCAGTCCCCCCACCCTCGTCCCCCGTCCACCTGCCGCTCTGTCCTGCCACCAGGCCCACGCGGTCTGTCCTCTATGGCATACAAAAGGTGCTCAATAAACTTTAAATAAATAAACTATGGTACATGAATGGGGTCCACCTGCTGGGCAAGAGAGCTCCCAGTGTCCTCTAGCTGACAGGCCCAGCCCTTTGGGTCTTTGTTCTCCTCAGTCCCCTGCGACAATGCTGATTCCTGGTGTTGGGCAGGACTTGCCCTCGGGGTGGACCTGAGTTCTGAGAACTGGGGGACTAGGCCTGTTATTAGAGAAGAGCAATGCAGGGTTGCAGCCCAGGACTCAGAGCCACCCCTGGTTCTGAGGTTCATGGTGAGTTTGGCCACAGGAGTCTGAGTCTGGGCTACAGTGGGTCCAGTGTGGTCAGGTCTCCTCTGAGGGAGGGATGGTTCTGACCTTGGACAGGGAGGTGACCCTAGTACTGCAGTGGGGGCAGGCGGGGGGCATCACACAGGCCCAGAGGTGGGTTTGGCAAGTGACTGGCCTCTTCCTGCCACGTTGGTCTCCAGCTGGCTCTGTCAGGTGGCGGCCGGGGGTGGGGACCAGCTGGGTCCTCACAATGACCGCCATCGTCTCTATTTAGATGGAATCCACACACTCACCTGTGCCCTGATGCTGCTCAACACGGACCTGCATGGACATGTGAGTAGGGCGGCAGGGTGGGGCGTGGCCTCCCACCGGCCCACTGTGAGCTGTCCGAGGGCCGGCACTTATCTGGCCCCAGTCCTGAGATCTGCTCAGTGGCCACATTTGTCTTAGCAGACCTGGGGGTTGGCAGCTTGGCATCTAGACTTGGCCCTGCCCTGGGTTCATCCACCGGAGATCTGCCCGAGTCGCTGCCTCTGAGCCGGGCAGTAAGAGCAGTTGAGGCCCAGGAGAGTTTAGGACGTGCTGAGTAAGATGTGTCCCACCATGCCCTTAGTCAGGTCCAGGCCGGGCATTACTCGGCCCGCTCCTCATCCCGCTAGCCTGACTGCCGCTGCCTTGAAATACCATGCCCGGGGAGCCCCACCCTGCAAATGGTAGGTGGCCCTCGTGAGGTGGTCTCCTCTCCTGGACCCCCACTGGATAAGTGACATGACGGGGCGGGGGGTGCTCGGGCCGCCTCAGTGCTTCTCACAGCAGCTCAGTAACTCCATCTTCTTTCCTCTGTCTGCTCCGGGGACCCCTCTCTGGGCTCTCCTGCCCTCCCCTAGGTGGTAAGTGTAGCCAGTGGTGTGCATGCCCTTGTGCCCAGACCCCCATGTCCATGTCACCCTCTGTGTCCCCCATCACACCATCTAGTCTCACCCAATCACTGTGCCATCATGCTCACCTCGGGGCCGTCAGAGTCTCCTGTTGGGTTGGGGAGAGTCTAGTGACTCAGGGGGACAAGAGGGGCCTGAGCAGACTCGAGTTCGGATGCTACTCTTGCCTGCGCACGGTAGCTGTGTGACCCTGGGCAAGTCACTGGCCCTCTCAGAGTCTCGGGTTCTGCAGCTGAGAAGTGGGATAAGAATGTCCCCCCAGCATCACGAGGAGGTCTGAGGGAGGCAGTGCGTGCGGCGCGACCCAGTGAGGGTCAGCTGTGCACAGCGTCATTGCACGAGGAGGGCAATCACCATTTACACGGTGGTGAGGCCGAAGGCCCGGCCTGCAGCCCCTCAGAGGGTTGAGAAAGTGCAGGCTGGGGTCTGGTGGCAACCCAAACTGGCATGGGGGTGGGAGGGGCAGCCTCAGCTGAGCTTCAGTGAGTTAATAGAGCGCCTGGTCTGGGAGCACTGGCCTCCATACTCGCGCAGGAGCCAGAGTGGACAACTTGGCAAAGTCCACCCGGGAGGGTACCTGAGAAGGGAACAGGAGAGAGGGCGGGTATATTCCGTGTGAATGTCACCAGAGCTGATGTCCTAATGTCCCCCACACCCCCCTTCTCACTCTATTCAGGGAATGCAGGCATAGCCAACCTACCTTAAAAGCAGCCCGAGGGAACCAGCAGTTAGCGTAATGGTTATGTCGCTGGACTCCCATGTAGTCGATCGCGGTTCGCGTCCTGGACCCGGTGGCTTAAAACTCACGCCGGGCGCGTGTGCGTGCGTGCCCAAGATCCCGAGAGGAGAATGGAGGAGAAGGG